AACCCAGACTGATGTACCCTGCAAAACCATCTTTAAAAATTGATGGAGAAATAAGATACTTTCATGATAAAGAGAACCTCAGGAACTTCATGAATACCAAACCGGCACTCCAAAAAATTTTAGACAATATCCTAGGAAAACACAACAAGGATCACAACCCCAGGAAGCAGAATGAATCCATTGGGCAGGACAATAAATTAAATGCAAAGGGGGAGAATCCAACAAAAAGACAAAGTTATGACAATGATGTCTATACGTATCAGTTATAACCATCAATGTTAATGGTCTCAATTCACCATTCAAAAAAAAATAGACTGACAGAATGCATCAAGAAGCAAGATCCAACAATATGCTGCATACAAGAAACACACTTAATTCAAAAAGAAACTCATAGCATGAAAGCTAAAGGGTGGAAACCAATACTCCATGTGACAGGACCCCCCCCCCCCAAAAAAACAGGAGTAGCTATGTTCTTTGCTGATCAAGTGGATTTCAAACCAAAATCTGAAACAGTTCTGGTCCCAAGAATTTCAGACAAAGGATAGTCAACTTGAATATACAAATCTATTGTGAACGTGTGTTTTCATTCCTCTTAAGTAAAAACTTAAGAACAGAACTTTCGGTTCTTAGCAGTAATACAAGAAATTTCTATATTGTTTTCCAAAAAGGTTTTTATCATTTTACATTCACATTAGCAGTGTTAGAAAGTTCTAACTGGTTCACACCTAAGCTGACATTTGTTCTTTTAAAACTTTTAACTTCATCTCCCTAATGGGTGTATAATACAACCTTGTTATTGAACTGATTAATATTTTTCTGATTCTAGTGTTGCACACTTTTCCTTGTGCTGTACTGGGTATTTATCATCTTCTTGCATCTACTTTTTAATTGTGTTTTCTATTAATGAGCTGTAAATGTTCTTTATATACTCTGGTCATAGGTTATATATATTATAAATATGGTCTGTTTAAGGACTACTTTTCGTTTTCTTAACGATGTCATTTAAAGTTCTAAATTTTGATGGAATCTCATTTATCAATTTCTTTCTTTTATACACCATGTTTTTTGTATCCTAAGAAACCATCACTTACCCTAAATTCATGAACATTTTCCCTTATAATTTCTTCTTAAAATTTTACAGTTTTAGTCTTTCATATTTAGGTTCATAGATCCTTTCAAGTTATTTTTATGTATCGAAATAAAGGGTTGAGGTTAATTTTTTATATACAGATACCAGGTGTTCTAGTACCATTTGCTGAAAACACTATCTTTTCCTCTGCTCTTGAATTGAGTTTATGTTCTATAAAATGTTAATGTTAAATAATCTTTCAAAACTCAGTGGACCATAGATGTGTGGTTCTGTTTCTAGATTCTTTGTTTTATTCCAATGATCTATATGTCTTTCCTTACAGCAACACTGCCTTGAATACTGTAGCTTTAGA